GTGTATGTGGCTGGTGCCTTAGCCACTTGAGCCACAGGCGCCGAGCCAAAAGTTTAGTTTTTATTTTACTTAAAATTAGAGTTATCATTGATACTTGTATTAGTAAATCCATTGATTCTGATTTATCAGTGGCTTCTCATCATTGTTTTTTGGGAAGGAAATTAATTATCCAGTAATCAGTTTAAAACTTAAGCTTGTGAAAGTAGTTAACCTCTTCCCCATATTGTCAGCCTTACAGTGGCCTTGCTTTCTTCCCAGGCTGCCTATTCCCAAACTTGAAGACACCATCAAGAGATACCTCAGTGCACAGAAGCCTCTCTTGGATGATGGCCAGTTCAGGTAAGCACAGAGAACCTTGTATGACCATGGTTCGGGTGGTTCGGGTAGTTCAAGAGGGGCTGGCAAGTAATGATGAACCAAGTTTCAGGGAATGTCTGTGATTTTATTGGACTTCCAGGAACCTGGAACCTAGTTATTCATTTGCCAACTTCAGGAGATAGATTTTTATTCACAAAGACTGACCAACCCCTGAGATGAGAGTTCCTCTAACAGACTCAACAGGAGATGGTTGATTGGCCAGAGTGCCACATTTGTACTTTCTTATGATTCTTTGTTGTAAAGTACACAGGAAAAGTTAAAAAACTGTTTATCCTAGAGGAGAAAAATCAGTTGTTCAAACTCAGAGTATAATTTGAATCAGTGTCAATACAGTTTTAGCAAAGGTATTAAAATTGTGACCAGGAAACAGGAATGCTTGGGGTAGTTTCTGTTTCCCCATTTTGAATCCATTATTATTATTTTATTTTAAAAGTTTAGTTATTAACTTTTTTATTATGGCTCTGCCAGTGGGCATGAAGTGGTATGCCATGTACCACAGTGGGTTTGATTTGTGTTTCCTTCATGCTCAGTTATGCTGAACACCTTTCATGTGCTTATTGGCTATTTGTAGATCTTTAGGAAAAAAGATTCAGATCCTTTGGCTACTTTTCTTTTCTTTTTTTTTCTTTGCAGTTTTTGGCCAGGGCTGGGTTTGAATCCTCCACCTCTGGTGTATGGGGCCAGTTTACTACTCCTTTGACTACTTTTTAATTGTGTTGTCTTCATTGTGTGATTAGTCTTGAGTTGTAATGCAAATTTATAATTACTGCTTTATGTAATTATCTTTTATATGAGAGAGAAAGTAACAAAAATGCATTTATACTGTCTTTAAATAAAAATAAAAAGTTTAGTTTTTCTTTTTTTTTTGAGACGAAGCCTCAAGCTATCCCCCTGGGTAGAGTGCCATGGCATCACAGCTCACAGCAACCTCCAACTCCTGGGCTCAAACGAGTCTCCTGCCTCCGCCTCCCAAGTAGCTGG